ATTTTATTGACAAATCTTGGTACAGAATTACCCATCGAACCAGAACGATCGAGAATGACGATAGTAGAAACATTTGATTTAGATAGAAGACTTTCATTGATATTTTTATCATTGGATATATTTAATGCAAGTTTTCCAATGTAACCATTTTCATTTGGATAGAGAAAAAGTTCGAGATCAGAGTTCATAGTGTTTATTTCTTGCGAAAGAAAATATAATCAAGATTTACTTCTGATAATAAATTATCATTGCAATATATATATATAGTTTGAGAAAAGCTGATGAAACTGTACTATTTTATATGAATAGAAGCGTCATCAATCTTGCACAACACATAGTCAATATTTGCTAGTTTTTAAAGAAAAAAACACGCTATTACACAGTCAGCCCGAGCGTTTTTTTTTTCGTTCTTGTTTTTTTTCTTACTTGCTATTTTAAGTTACGATGCAATGACTCATAATTTCTTGGATTGATGCAATATGAAGAAAATAGTCTATAATAATAAAGCTGTGATCTAGTTTATTTGTAGGTACTGTCGAAATTGAAAAAGAACATTTTTCTGACCCTGGGTTAACAAAAGATAAAATAATAAATTAATAATAATGTAAATCATTTTAAAAAGAACTCAATATATTATTTGTTTGGACATTCATTTATTGTTCTATCGATGAAAAACAACTATCATAATATTTTAGTTTGCCTAAAATAATATCAATCATTATCATGAACATCATTTAATGCATTTGCAATTTGGTTATATACGACCCAATTTGTTATAATATCTATCACATGCATGTGCAAAATATATCTAAAGATTTATGTTTGTAAACATTTTTTTTTTTGCGACCTTTTGATTTATTTTGGTTATTATACTATATTATTTGATGAGGCGAAATTCCAAGATTTAGGAAAACAACGTAGAGTAGTGTCTTACATGGATAGTGATCAATATTTGACAAATACATTCAGAGTTAGTTTCTTCCATAAATAGTAACAAAAGAAAGTGATTTAGGATTCACTTGATTTCTTTCTATGCTTTCAAAATCCGATCAATTCTCGCTAAGTATACGTTTGATTGTTGCTGATAACTTTGAAATGGAGCTCAGTGTTGATGCTAAATATCATACTTATGAATACATAAATAAATGTTTTATCCAGCATGATAATACATGTTCAACTTTTTTAATAATTTACTTTTCTTTCGATGTATTTTCATTACTTTGTCATATACTTTCTCATCATCTTTATTATGCATTTTCATGCTCAATTTCTTTTTAAAAAACGCACATATTAATTCTCTAATCATCTGAGTAAATAATTTTAAAAAGAAAATAATATTTTGTTTTTTCAAAACTTTCATACATCATCCAATGTCTGTATGTCCCAGAAATTAAAAAATATTGTCGAAATATATATTCTATTGAACAAAATTAATATCATCAACTTATTATTGTTTATATATAGAATAACAATTCAAATATATCTCTGTTATTAAGTAACCTTCAAAAAAAAAGATTATCAATAAATAATCTGTTTATTTATACACTTACGATTACTTTTATTATAGAATTACAAAACGCTATGCTAATCTCAACTAAATTCTAAACTTGTCTATAATTTATAATTTGTAGCATTATGAGCACCAAAAAATTAACATCTATAGACAAGTAGTACATCTAAAAGTACAAACTAGTTTTGAACTTTGGCACGTATGCATTTTGTGACTGTAACTGCGAATGTAAGTGAAGAACACATGCACATCTTTTCTATAGACTAAAACAAAAGCATATACTAGGTCAATTGTCAAAAACTGACACCCAATACTATAAAAACACGTCCATTTTTTTCTTGGCTTGATCAACGTGCTTGAATTAGATCGATCTAATAATCTCGTATAGAATGAAACTCTTTATTTTAATTATAGTGATATAAAACACAATTTACACAAGTCTGCATCTATAATAGTTTATGTTCATTTGTATGAGAGAAAACGTACAAAGTTTATTTAAACTAATTGATGTTTGTATACCTTGCCATTATTCAACAGTACATATAGATTGAGACTAGAATCTAAATCAAGATCCATTGGTTGACTACTAAAGCTTAATATAACAGTGCCCATTGTTGAGTTGGCGCAAAACATAACTATTCGCTTATTGTCTTGGTCAGCAACATATAAATTGCCATTAGCATCTAATCTGATTCCTCTCGGATTATTAAGATTGCTACCACAATCGACGTCAGTCAGATTTACACTTGGCGTTGCTGCACCAAATGTCCACAGAAATACAGCTTTGCCACTTTCGTCACTAATATATATTTGATCCGACGAGGAAGACTTCAGTAAAATTGCGGACATTGAGGAAATGATACCAGTTGTATCAATCACAGTAACAAGGCTAGTTCCATTTTGATCGAGTTTCGCCACTCGTTTATTGCCTTGATCATTGATGTAAAGCGTATAATTGTCATCAACAGCAGTAGCTCTTGGAGAATTGAGACCACTTATAGATGATCCTGTTCCAACAACAACAGTAGGAACTAAAGAATTGGCAGGATAACGTTGCACTATATTCGTCAAATGTTGAGTGGTATACATGGCTCCACTGTTGTCAAAACTAATATAATCCATATGATCTGCAGTGTTGCTGGTCGCTGCAGTTCGACTAGTTGTATTTGTGATCCATTTTTCAACGTATCCAAGCTGGTGGTCGCAAACATAAATTGTATCATTTCCTTCAACCACAATACATCTTGGATTCGAAAGTGGATTAGAACTTGTGTCAGCCAACACTACGCCTGTTTGATTCCAAGAATAACTAGTAGTACCTAAAGTGATAGATCATACTTCTTACATGTAAACATATAATGTAAATGAACTAACATGAATTGCAGGTGGTTGTGGTTGTCGCTGTCGTTGTTGTCATCGTGGTTGCACTGGTACTAGTGGCTAAAAATTTCAAAGTGATTTATTTTCTTTATCAATAAAAATCAATATCTACTTACATGATGTTGAGGTTGTAATTGAAACAGCGTTTTGTTTAGCTAATGGAACATGAAAGAAGTTCATTTAATGTGATTTATTTGCTTTCTATTCATCAGCTATGTTGTCTTTCTTTCATAAGTGGTGTTAAGAGCTATTTTCTATTGTAGTCAGTATTATTCTTATTATCGTGCACTGGCCTAGCGCTTATGTGAAACTATACACACAATGTGTCATACTTTTTAGACTAATACATCACAATCTCGTGTTTTAGGATGCTACGAATCGAATAAATAAACATCGAAAAATATTTATTTAAAGGCAAGAAGAAAAGTTCAATACTCAACTAATATAAAACGCTTTATGATTCTCAAACGATCATGTCATTTGCTTCCCGTTATATTTATCCAAATATCACTTCTGTGCACCTTATTCTTCATGAAATGATCAACAAAAAATAATCAAAAGGTTAAACATTATGCCAATTTTTTTGAATAGGGTGATGCCATACATTGAAGACGAGATAGAAGCAAATTTTCTATAGTGAATCGCATCTAGATACTTAGATGACCACTGCACAACATTTGTTTTTTGAAACATGTTCACAAGTGTTGACAGAAGTCTAGTAGTAAAAGCTTTTGTCAAGTCTATTTTCCAGTGTTTTCTCACTTTTATTAGCTTATCGAAAGAGATACTTTAAATGAAGAAT